GGGAGCCAACCGGCTGGCATCTGCCCAAGGGCTGGAATTCTCCAGTGGTTCGCAGCTGCCAGGAAATATGGATAGTTCTGTGCTGCCGTGCGTGTGTATGTGATACAGACACAGCCCCGAGTCAGAGCGGCAATACGGTACTCAGGGCTCCTCTGGGTGACCTTCCATTTAAGGATCCCAAAGCACTTCGCAAGCACAAATGAATTAGGCCTTGATACGCCCTCAGGCTGTAAATAGGCTTTCATGACCGAGCAAGGTGCACCGACGTGAAAACTGAGGCTCTCAGGAAATAGTGGGATCACACTGGGCTGTCAATCACAATTAGCTGACACAAGTAACTGGAAAAAAAGTGAATTGTGATGGAAAAAGTGAACTGCCATTCAGTTAATTGTGATTAATTGCACTGTTAAACAATAGAATACCTATTACAATGTATTATCTATGTTTGGATATTTTTTCTACATATTCAGATATATTGATTTGGTTTACAACACAGACTGCACAGTGCACAGGGCTCCTATTATAATTTTGATGATAAATATTTGCAAAAATGATAAAAGAAATAGGCGTTTTTCCATTCATTTTATACAAGGACTCTTATGCAGTCTCTTTACGGTAGAAGATAGGTTTTCTTTTACGTAACAGCACTAAAACCACAAAACAAAGTAAAACTGTAATGACTACAACTCTGCTCAGTCCTACTTCTTGTTCAGCTGATTCCTCGGACAAACAAGTTTGTTCACATTTGTGAGAGGCAATGCTGCCCACTTCCTATTTACAATAGCACCTGGAAGTGAGAACAGGTGTTTGCATGGCAGGCTTGTAGCCAGAGTTGCCAGTTATTTATGTGCCATATATGCTAACCATGTGTATACCCCTTCAGACGCCAGCCACCATTCCAGAGGACATGCTCCTACGCTCGTTAAAAAAAAAAAAGCATTAATTACATGTGCGACTGAACTCCTTGGGGGAGAATTGTTTGTCTCCTGCTGTTTTACCCACCTACTGCTGTAGATTTTGTGTTCATAGAATACTAGGACTGGAAGGGACCTTGAGAGGTCTTATTGTGTTATGGGGTCTTGGATGGTAACTTGGCACTTGGTTCATTGTAAGTCACTTTCACTGCAGATTTGACAAAACACACAGAAAATCCCAAGGTGAGATTGCTACCGATAGCTACAGCGCTTCACCCAGGGCCTCAGAATCTGAAGTGCCCTCCAGAATGGGAGAGGTTGCGGTGTGAAGCAGACTCTCAGAAATCTGAAATGCGCAACAGTCTGATGCAGAAACTACAGAACCCGAACCACCAAAAAAGAAAATCCTCATTCTGCTGGGGGCATATGACTCAGATGGTGACAATGAACATGCATCAGTCTGCTCAGCTTTGGTCATTATTGAGCAGAACCGGTCATCATGGAATCACGGAACCCAATGACTGGAAGGGACCTCGAGAGGGCATCGAGTCCCGTCCCCTGCCCTCACAGGAAGACCAAGCACCAGCTAGATCATCCCCAATGTCGGTGTCTGTCCTACCTGCTCTTAAATATCTCCAGAGATGGAGATTCCACAGCCACCCTGAGCAATTTATTCCAGTGTTTCACCACCTTGGGAGGTTGAGGTTGGACATTAGGAAAAGTTTTCTACCTGTCAGGGTGGTAAAACTGGAATAAGTTGCCCAGGGAGGTTGTGGAACCTCTATCTCTGGAGATATTTAAGAGCAGGTTGGACAGACACCTGTCAGGGATGGTCTAGATGGTGCTTGGTCCTGCCGTGAGGGCAGGGGACTGGACTCGATGACCTCTCGAGGACCCTCCCAGTTCTAGAGTACTAGGATTCTATGAGGCCAGCTAGTGGTGGGGGCCTGGCGACTGCTTCCTTCTGTGCTGGCTGTCGCTGTGACCTGGCTGTGCGTTGCAGTGTGCTCTGCGGGTGGGATGGCCCTGGAGCTAGCTGCTTTCTGGCCCAGCTGTGGATTGGAAGATGGGGCCGGGCTCTTTCGCTAGCCTAGCCCCTGTTCTTATCACAGCTCCCTTGGGAGGGGTGGAAATCGTGGCCTGTGCTCAGAGGATGATCCCCTGGTCATTGGCTGTGCCGCGTGCATGCCACAGAGGATGCTCCTGTGCAATGGCCAGGTGGTGAGACCCAAATCCTGTTCCCCGGGCTGCCCTGGCCACGGTCAAGGGAGCAGAGTTTGCCCCCCAGCTGAAGGGGGGTTCCAAAGAGGATGGAGAGAGGCTGTTCTCAGTGGGGGCAGATGGCAGAACAAGGAGCAATGGGCTCAAGTTGCAGTGGGGGAGGTCTAGGTGGGTTATTAGGAAAAACTATTTCCCTAGGAGGTGGGGAAGCGCTGGGCTGGGTTCCCTAGGGAGGGGATGGAATCTCCATCCCTAGAGGTGTTTAAGTCCCGGCTTGACAAAGCCCTGGCTGGGATGATTGAGTCGGGGTTGGTCCTGCCGTGGGCAGGGGGCTGGACTTGATGACTCCTGAGGTCTCTTCCAGCTCTATGGTTCTATCCTCGTCAGTGCTTGTGAGCCCTCTGCCCTTCCCACAATGCATGTGGGGCTCCCCTCTGGCCACTCCCCCGCCCGACTGCCTGCTAACACCTTCCCTGCCATCCTCACCTTCCACTTTCTCCTTTCCTTCCAGGGAAGCCGCTGCAGATCAAGCCCAGGCTGTGAGCCCGGGTCCCTGGATTCAGCATCTCTCCAGCCCTCCCGGTGTACGGTTCCATCCAACAGTCCAGCAGCCGAACGCCTCAGGATACGCAGCAGCCCGGCCAGCCCTGGCACCTACCTCAGGACAGCAAGACGGGAGGCAGCCTCCCCCGATTTGTGTTCCATTTCGATCAGTTCGTTTGACCCGCAACCCGGGAACAGCCCAGGCGCCTCCGCCCCGTCGTGCAGGGAGGCAGCTTTGTGAGCGTTTTAATTTTGAAATAAATGATCTTTTAATATGGTCTATTTAAAACAGCCTCTCCCAGAGCCCTGGCTTAACCTCTACTTGCCTGGCCCTGCTTGCTCTGGAGTTAGCAGGGCTCTAAAGCTCCGGCGTCAAACGGCTGAGTCCGGGTTCGGCTAACCTGGGCCCATTGATCACGGCTGCAGCCCTTTGCCCCCGGACTCTTGGTGCCGTGTCCGGAGCTTTGCAGTCGCTTTGCAATTCCCCTCGCAGAGATGGGGGAAGGGATGGGGATTAATTGTTTCTCTTCAGTGCCAGGGAGCTGCAGTGCCCACTGATTGGCACAGGGGCATTTCCACAGCGCGGGGGGCAGGAAGTTACACCCCCGGTCAGAGATCGGAGCACTTCAGCCAGCCAAGAAGAGCCGTAATTGCTTAGGAATGAAGATATGAGCCTGGTGCAACCCTCAGGCCCGGAGTTTGGGGGTGTGCTAGGGGCCCCATGTATATAACCCATAGAGCAGCCACACAAGGGGAGCTCTGAAGCCCTTTCAGAGACATACCGCTGCCCCAGCACCCAGAAATTGGGGAGGGGAGAGAGCATTAAAGGAATAGCTTCAGCAGCCAGCTTGGGGGGCGGGAAGGGATGAATTTCTGAATGGAACTGCAGGCCCCCTGTTCCAGTGCGCTTGGAGGAGTCTCTGCTAACGACGTGTCTCCAGCGGCCAGAGAGGGACAGAAGAAAGCCCTGTGACCCTGCAGGGCGTGGCATGGCGTGCAGGGGGAACCACACGGCAAAGCCGTGAGCCCGAGCACAGAAGGGGATGTCTGCAGTCAGTGTGGTGGTTTCTGTGAGCGCTGCTTTCCCTGCCAAGACCAGGCAAGCTATGGGGGGACGTGTTCCAAAGGAAAATGCGTGTAAAAGCCAAGGATGACAGCGTGCCCAGTGGGGGGACAGAAGGGCTGGGACTCTGAATTCGACTTTCGTTAATGCAGGTTTCTCATCTCCTCTGGTGTAATAGCAGGGTGCCAGGAGACGGGCGTGCACAGGAGATACCCCACATCAGGGCCTGTGCCCCATGCCACCTGTGCTGAATTCCAGCGCTGGTCCAGGGAAAAGCCAGGCCATCCTCACAATAAGTCCAAGATAAGTTTAAAAACTCGGACTTAATGCAAAACAACTTGGAGCGAGGATTTTTTTCCCCACGGCTGACTTCCATTTGTACATATTGGGGGTGAGGGGGGTTTTGCACGACTTCAGAGCAGGGAATGAGAGGACTTCTAACGCATCGGCTCCTACAAGCCTCAACTACGTTAATGCGGAACGGTTGTATCCCAGGGCGACTTATAGCAGGGACGCTCTGTAACCTGTTTCCTTGGCCTAGATGCCACCATTCTCTAACCATCTGGCAGGTTCCTGTAGTGGGTTAGTGCATCAGACGTGCTGACTGCTTAATTCCCAAATGTGCAAGCCAGATGCCCACCTGGATAAATCCACCTCCGCCCCCGAGAGGCAATGGTAGGACTCAGAATTTCTTGGTTTCTCTATTTGTAACCGAGGGGTTTCCTGAGGGTCAGGCACTAAGAAATGTGGCCCCAGCGCCGTGCTGAGAAATACCAACACAACAAGCATTTGGGTTAAATCTAGAGCTAAGTCCAAACTAACCGCCGGAGCCAAACACCTCAGCCCCTGCTCTGCTGTCCCATCAGCTCCTGGATTGTTATTGACGCAACCTGGGATCCACATATTCCACACTTGGGCCCATTCCAAAATCTGCTTTGGGTCTGAGTATTGCCGTCATGGAACAGATCCAGTCAAAGCCCAGTTCTGGGGCATTCAGAGTCAAGAGCCTCCACCTGTCTAGTGAAAACCAGACCCGTTTGCAGCTTTTCAGTTCGTGTCCCGGGCGGGGACTCGGTTGCTTGGAGCTGACACATTTTCTCAGCCTGCATCCTGTATCCCTCTTGCCCCCAAGGAGATGATCCGAAGCGGGAGTCCAGTTTGCATTCGTATAAAGGCAGTTGCCACATGCTGAGGCCTTCATCTCTCACTGTCTGATCATCCAAAGTTGCTCCAGCAACACCCTCCTGGAGGATGTTAGTGACTCCCCACGGTAGCATCTTTCGGTCACTTTGCTTATCAAGCCAGGGGAGCCGTGGAGTTTGATTGACATTTTTGTGGTGAGCGGAGAAATTTCCCCCTTCTGTGAATCTGCCTGGCTCATCTCCTCCCTTCACCACAGAGCAACAAGCTAATAAAAGATTGATTGTAACTGTAATTGCAATCTGCCGAGGTCGGCACTTCCTCGCTGCACAGAGGGACGGAGGGAGCACGAAGGGGGTCGTTAGCAAGCACCCAGTTGATTGGGCTGGTTTTATTTCCCCCACTCCGTTTCTTTATCTCTGTGATTTAGCATCCTGTCGGGGCGCGTTCCTGCCGAGCCGAGGAGTGCTGGCCGTGCACGCTCCCCAGGGCGCTGCCAGCGGAGAGCTGCAGGTGCAGTTTTTCTCATGTTTTGTCTCACTCATGTTTAACTTTGGAGGGGTGAAGGTGGTTTTTAAATGAGGAGGGGGGTGGCTGAGTTTCCAAGGATAGCACCGGAAATTCCCATCAGATCCCGGCAACCCCCTCAGATCCACATGCAAAAAGCACCAAGACCCTCGTAAGGCGTCTCAGGGATGTCGCATACGCTGCAGTGAAGCCAAGAAGATCCACACAGGCCATCGTGGGAGGGCTAGGAGCTCAAGATCGAACGCATCTACAGCCGCCAGGAAGGTGCCTAGCAAGACTTCACATGCAGGGAATGGTCCCTGAGACTGCTGCTTTGGTGGGGCTCCCTGGAGCTAGGTCAGAGGACTGGCCCTTCATATTCAGGGCTAGTGAACCTTAGGGCCAGATGTGTCTCTTGGTTACACCTGTGCAAGACAATGAGGGTTGATTGGGACTGTCCACAGGCAAACTTTGGCCCCCATTGCTGCTACGGAGACCGAAGCAAACGCTGATCTGATGAAGATTCGCAAATTCGCTTTATGGCCAGTAGCCAGCCTCAGTTTCCCCATTACACCTTCCTGCTGTGGGTGGGAAACAGGAAGGTAGAGGGCAAAGGAAAATCCTGAACTGAGCGGTCTCAGGAAAGCGCCAGCAGGGCCTGTGTCCTCCCAAACTCTTCCCTCTTCTAATAAGACGTTGTCATTAGTAGCTAGATACCAGGAACTGGACCGGTGTGGATAATGGTTTCACATCAGGTAGCTGGTTCTCGTTGCATTTTATATTGGCATTGGCAAAGGTTCAGAAAAGGGCCACACAAATGAGCAAGGGTTGGGAATGGGTCCCATATGAAGAGAGATTAAAAAGATGGGGACTTTTCTACTTAGAAAAGAGGAGACTAAGGGGGGGATAGGGTAGAGGTCTGTAAAATCATGACCAGTGTGGAAAAGGTGAATAAGGAAAAGTTATTTACTTGCTGCCATAACAGAAGAACTAGGGGTCACCACATGAAATGAATAGGTAGCAGGTTTAAAACAAACCAAAGGAAGTTTTTCTTCACTCAGCTCACAGTCAACCTGTGGAACTCCTCGCCAGAGGATGTGGTGAAGACCAGGACTTTAACAGGGTTCAAAAAGAGTTAGATCGATTTATGGAGGTTAGGTCCGTCAATGGCTATTAGCCAGGATGGGTAGGAATGATGTCCCTGGCCTCTGTTTGTCAGAAGCTGGGAATGGGTGACACGAGAGGGATCACTTGATGATTCCCTGTTCTGTTCATGCCCTCTGGGGCATCTGGCATTGGCCTGTCGGCAGACAGGATCCTGGGCTAGCTGGACCTTTGGTCTGACCCAGTATGGCCGTTCTTATGTTCATTTCTCAGGCCGCATCCATCGTCACACACGCCAGGAGGCCAACAAAATCTCTCACCCTTGCACCTGCCAAAAAGAAAAGCAGCAGCCTGTTTGCATCAGATACAGACACGCATGCACGCTGGCTGAGCGCTGCCTAACTTACCGCACGTACAGGGAGCAAACCTTGCCGCCCCCACGTCGCAGCCCCTCTGTGCACCACGTGGGCGGCATGTTTCTCAGCGGAAGGGAAGAGAAGGGAGCTAGCCTGTGAACTCTGAAATCCAATAGGGAAGCGCTTTTTATTTTCAAGGTCATCTGGCCACGTGTTTCCCGGGGGAGGCCTGCTCTCAGGTGCAGCGTCCTTGGGCGCACAGCGACGGGGGGAGAAGGGGCTGTAATGCGTTCCCAGGGGGATACTCCGCCTGCAGATACACTGCTCCTCCCCCCAGGTTGCAGTGGTAGCAGAGGGGTCTGGAAATGCTCAGCCGCCAGAGGCAGTCTCCTTCCACCGCGGTCTCAATGGCTTTTTACCCCGTTTTCTTGCAGGGGCGACCGATGCCCGGGGACTGAATGGACGGAGTGGCATGGTGCATCCATAGCTGGGGGAGGTTCGCTCCAGGGGTGTTTCTCACCTAGATGTGTGTGTTACGGCCACGCTGCCACGGGCAGTGGATTGTAGCGAGTTCCTGGGCTCTGCTGATGGTCCAGGACCCTTCCTTGACAGCGCTTGGTTTTTTAGCAGGACGCTGCTCTGCAGTCTTGACTTGCCTCGGCTTCGTGCGACGTGTTCCCCGGGAGTCAGCATCGCGGAGGCCAACGCCCAGGCGGGTTTGAGCCCCGTGGTCCACCATCCCTGGCTGTCTCGCCCGTTCATTTGCTCTGCTCCGGGGGAGAATGATGTACGGTTCAGTTAGGCTTGATCTTGTGAGGTCCTGAGCACCCTTCGACTCTTGGGCGGCTGAAGAGTGTTCAACTCCAGCACCAGTCCCAGGCTCGGCTCTAGCACCCCACCCTTGTCCAGTGGGAATTGTGGGCCGGTTTGATGCAGTACAGGTGTTGGGGTGGGGGCTGGCTCATTCCTCTGCCGGGCCTTGGCACGGAGTCGATATCCTATAACCGTATCTTTCTGATTTGGTGTCTGATGTGAACGTCACTGTATTTACTGCCAGCGCAGGACTGAGATTCCTGGAGGGGAAAATGTAATAGGGGAGGCTTAGGAAACGATAGTAGC